CCGGTAATCAGAAAAGTATTGAAACAATAATTAGTACACTGAGAGTTCAGTGCAATGTAATTATTTTGCATGTGTATATTGCATGGAATGTAAATCGAACAATTACAGTTAGGTTTCGATGTATTTATTTTAAAAAATCACAGTGTCGCTACACAGACCAGTGTTTAAAAATTAACATAAAATAAAAGTAAGAAAATAAACAAAATATACAAGACACTGACCATTTTTATATTATAAACCTATTCTATTCTATTCTAGGATCGGTATACAATTTTTTTACTAATTTTCCTAAATCGCTGTAAATCAAAAATCAGTTAATTGCCGTGACATAATAATTTATGATAATTATTATGTAAATAATTTATGAATATGGACTAAATTAAAAATGTAATTTCATCGTGCGACCGAATCTCTCTTTTACACAATTTATTTGTTTATTTGCATGCAGATTATTATAGTGAAGTTGAGTCATTAATATTTTTGAAACAGCTGCTTATACATAAAATTGAATTAGCTAAAATCTAGTCTTTGGGAGGTTTGAAAAGATACAAACAGCGTGAGTTATGATCGCAATACACAGAGAATGGGTCACGTGACCGACTCAATATTTGGTAACATTCAACCCTAAAATTTAAAATTGCGATTGTAACATGGTATCAGTGTTCAAAATGTTTATATTGGTAGTCCACCACCTTAATGAAAATATATTTCTTGTCATATACAAAAATAACTATATTTTCAAAACAAAAAGGAACTGGGCAAATATTCCAGTCCGAAAATATCAGACCAAATAAAACAAATTCTTTTAATTTCAGATAACATGTATATTGTTTGTAAATTCCCATGACACCTCAAAAATCGCCATGGTTACATGATAAATTAATAGTGACAGTATAAAATATACATTTAGATGTACATTACATGCGTATAAGGAAGTTATTCGCCTTTGGCTCGGGTAATAATATATAATTATACAATAGGCAGCTAAGACCCCGAATACATGAAAACAGGCATAATTGGAAGCAAATAGTTTTTTAAGTGAATTTTTCATTTTTAAGGTAAGATTTACAATCGTGAATTGTGTGCAAATTCAAGTCTAGTACGCGTTAATTAAAATAATCCGTTGTTTCATAACCTGCAGAATATAATAGAACGTGCTTAGGGGTGGAAACCAATTACCCGAATTTGTAGATAGCTATTTTTTTTAAACATTTCATACAATTATGAGTGTTTTTCAAACACCTGCCACGTGATTGTGGTGACGTAATATTCTGCAATGATTATTCCATCTAGGTCCCCTGAAGCGTCACTACTGACACGAAAAGTGACGTCATAAAGGTCGACTCTATGCATGGTTAAAAAACATGCGCATTGATAACAAAATTGGATAATACTCTGCTCATACCGAATGAATCGTGCCTGTGTACCAAATTATAAAACAGGTGTAATAAGTCAAGTCACGTGTTCTATACTAATGACATGCATACTGCCAGTAACAAAGCGTTAAAGGGGCATAAGCTTTATTTATGTAATGTTTCTCATAGATAAAATGAAAATTGTGGTGCCAAATGAACAGAAAATTGTAACATTTAGAAGGATTTTTGGTATTCATATATAAACAACTGGTTTGTTGGTAGTCAAAAATGATTTCAAATCATCTTACATTATATTATGATAAATGTTAGCACATTACATGATGTACCATCTTGTGTATACCCATTTTGTACAAAGAAGGCAATTTCGACTTTCCAGCTGTGCACGTGTTGTTTACATTTTCATAACTCTGTATATCCTAACCATTGTACTAATCGATTAAAAAAATGGTTATAGCCAATAGAAAAAATACGTCATTAATTATTTTACAATAAAGACTATGTACAGAGTATTTACACTAGAAATGTTCACACACTAACTTCAAAGAAGTATTGTTCTGTCAATACTGGAACTTACAGGTATTCAGTCAGTACTGTAAGTCGTTGGCAAAATTAACTGCAAAGAGGTTCTAATTCGCGAATTAAGGCACACCCTTCACTAACATCTTGACAAAAAAACCATAAAGAAAAAGTTTTTCTCTTGACTATCATAATTTTGTTTTCCTGGTACTCGTTGTTATACATATAGTCCCACCCTTCTTTACATCTAGAGTCACTTCAACTTTGGTTAAGTATTTAGTCTTTCTGTGCTTTGTCCCGGCGTTCATGGTTACGTCTGTTGTCTCGTGACCTTTCGTGACGTCTCCGACGGTGTTTTCGCTCTCTTTCCGGCGATATTGTCAGCGATTTCTGAAGATCTTCGACTTGGTGGACCTTATCTTCCAAGTCAGCTCTCGCGAGATACTCACCCGGGGAGAGTGAGACCTTATGGTGGAGAGGGCGCCTTCCTTTCGTGGAAGATGACCGGTCTTCACTCTGTGAACGGTTGGTGTCACCTAGAGATTTAGATTTACTTGGGGACTCGGACCGCGATCGTTTCTCAGATCGGGAACGCTTCGAGCTTCGAATCGGCGCTTCGTAATCGTCGCTAGTTCTTCTGTTAGCGGTACCGTTCGACTTTGTACTCTTTACCTGACCGCTAATTGGATCCACGACGTTGTGCTTGATGACAACTGAATGTTTCTGCTTTTTCCTTCGTCGCCTTTTCCGTTTTCCCTCGTATTCTACGTAGTAGTTTTGTCCAGTTGCGCTTTCGGCGGCGATAGCAGCTTTTTCTTTTTTAATGGTCAGTCGCATTTCTTTCTTTTCTAATGAAAAAGAATAATGGTCTTTTTACTTCTCCTATATCAAGGAATTTATGTAGAAATATATTTATGATTGAATGGTTTATTATATTATTATCCCGGTTTCCTGAAATACATTCAAATTCAATACTTACTTTTCTTTTCTTTCAGGTTTCGTTTATAACAACAGTAAATTATAAGAGGAATGATACAACAAACAAACACTACTAAACTCAGTATAAGCGCGCCAATGGCAATAATGAAAATTCAGGCTGTATCCTTCTTCGGTTGGTGCGGCTAAGAAGAGAAATAATGAAACCATGGTAACAACCCAATCACATACAAATACGTCAACATCATAAGTTAGAATTAGTCAATTGTGGTAATTATTGAATTATTCATAATATTTTGTCTCTTGCCATGTTTACAGAAAACAAGTAGAATAGTTGTTCTAGGTTTTCGTCAAAACGTGCAAATGTTTTAAACTACGCGATAATTTTAATATTCGAATATAAATTTGTTTCTGATCATTGAACTTACGAACTATCGTGATGGTAGCAGTCGCTAGCTGCGAGTCGATGCTGTTGCTTGCAACGCACTTAATCTGTGCGCCATCCATACTGTTAACAGCACTGACTATAGTGAGACTGCTGTCGCCTTCATTCGCTCGGAATCTCTTGTCGGTGCTGTTGATGCGGCTACTCCCATAGTGCCAGGTGTAGCCAGTGACTGGTGGGTCGCCAGTAGCCAGACAATTTATGGTACCTTCCTGGCCTTCGTACAACTCTAACATTTCGGGACTGACGCTGACTTGAACTCGTGGAATCACTGTGAACAAACAAAATGTGTTAATTAAAGTCAGAACATCTAAAAAACACGAACACTATAATGTTCACAAATACATTCTGCGCATGTCCAAATTCCAGTGAATAAATTAAAAATAGTTACAGATATATTAATAGTGTAAGATTATTCGTGGTCCATCAAACTGCATATAAAGAGGATAATTTGCATATTACACTTAATTATGATTTATTAATTAATATACAAACGAGGGGCCTGAATATGGGAACACTTCTTTAGATAATTCAGACATACTTACAATTTATAGAAATCGGCCCAATACTGCATTGTTTTGCGACTGAATATGTTGGATGTTGTGACGTGCACGTGAACGTAGAACCTTGGTATACCGGGCTCAGGACGAAGCTGTACGTCAACTCGTTGCCATCGGCCGAATTGCTAGCAACTGCCACTAAATCTTGACCTCCCATGCTCCAAATAAGGTCAGGCTTGGGGTTACCACCCTTTGATGTGCACACAACATTTGCAGTAACACCTTCGTCGTAGCTTGGGGTATTAGCTTCGCAGGTCGGAGAGCCACTGTCTGGAGCAATGGCAGCTGCAAAGGAGAAATAATAGAGTCAGAGCTTAACAACTCAAATTTAATTCATACTTTCCATGCATGTTGCCTCCTAAATAGTTTCATGCATTTTATTAAATTTGGACCGAGTGGACACGATGTCCCATTAGCTACAGATCTTGATCTAATTTGGAAAAGAAATATGGAAACAAATATACAACATCATTTTGTTAATGGTGACAAAAGCTGACGTTGGTGCTCAAAAAATCGAATCACATATACTTACGAATTATAATGAGTGTTGCGCTGGAACTTGGATCAGTGCCACTAGGATTGCCCTCATCGATTACACAGATATACGTGCCAGCGTCGTCACTTCCGAGATTCACAATATTTAAATTGTATTCGCCCCGTGATTGGTCGCCAGTGAGAGATACCCTAGCAACGAAAAATACATACGACTTCTAGCGACATATGAATACATTTTTGTCATTCGATTAAATGTGAGCGACTGATAATATTTGGATGACATGTACGAATGTGCGTCGTCTTTTACCTAGTTTCAACTAGTTTCCATCTAGTTTTAACAACCAATATTTGAAAAATACTGACACGGCGATTCCGATGTCTGACAATCTCATATGCCTTACGTGCGACCGCTAAAGGCTATACATCGTATTTCTGTGATGATGAATTCACTAACAGAATTTCTCAATTAGTTTACCTCCATAAATGCAAGCAATTGGCATTAAAATCTTACAAGACACGAATGTATATTAAAAAGTGTCCCTATTATAGAACAACAATAACCACAGAAACTTTTTCGGGTTGTGAGTCATTTCCATTCATTGATGTCAACTTATTCTGATTAAGAATGATCAGACGTTTTTCAATTTTGGGATTGCACTATGTATTTTTGTGTAATTTTAATCCAGTATAAGTTAATTTACTGAGAGATTTGGCTTACAGTGACGCGTTAATTCAGACGAGATGTATATAAGTTAATTTACAGTGAGAGATTTGGCTTACAGTGTCGCGATAATTCCTCCACTAGATTGCATAGAAACGACTTAATATCCAAACATCGAAAAAGTGAGTTTTCGATGAGGTAGTGTGTTGTTGTTGTTGTTTTTTTGCTACCAGTCACAGTTGTTTATAAAAAAAAATAAGACAACATTCGTAAACTGATTGCATATGGCAAAATGTAATCAGACGACAATGCATTTCTAGGAGACGGTATTTATTTGTTAATGAACTCACCGATTATCGTCGGTAATAATTTCGGATTCTGTAGTCAGCCCTTCTGAATTATGAATCCATTTAACCTGCGTTCCATTGTTGTCGGACACCGTGCAATTAAACATTACGTCACTACCTTCTCTTTTAGTCTCGTCAGACGGTCCGACATCAATTTGCTGTGCACCTGCAAAAAGAGGCAATAGTGTGTAATATCTTTGATTATTTCATTTTGTGTCACAGATGGATGCATTCAAATATTATATACACCGGGAATGTTTCACCTATCGGTAGACCCTTTTTCATAGATTTGGGCGCGCTCATAGTTTCCTGTGAGAGATGCTTATTTTCGCACAACAGAGTGAAGCAGTGTGGTTAGAGAATTAGTGTTTCAGTTTTGCCATGTGACAAAGTGTGGATTTTGCAACCTACACAATCATTCTTTCTAAAGGTGTAAGCGATTTGAGGGTGAAAAAAAACTATAAGGCCTACTAAATTGTAACGTTTTAAATCATTTTCATATACTACTATTAAAAAAACACTATTATAGCCTTGTATGTATACCCGAAACACAGTAAATGAACAAACAAACAATACACTCGGCAATATCATATATTTTTATTGTTTCCTTTTGTTAACTCTAATTATTTGCTTAGCCAACTTTATTATCAACTTTAATTCATTTTTAAACGCCAAATTAGAAACTGAAATTGTTTTACATGGTTGGAGTTTGTATCCTATTTATCTATCTGGTGTGTAACATCGTCTTTACTAAGAATTAGATTTATCTATTTGTTATTTTATACAACCATACCATCGTTTGAAGCTTCTGTTATTTATCTTCATGATGAAATACAATATTACACATGAGCAACACAATACAATACAAGGCATCATACTGACAGTACGGTGGTACGGTATGTCGCATCTTTTGAGCAAAAACATGTTCTGTGCAGATCAACTGAATTTGACATTATTGAAATCATTAGTAATAATATATTCTTACCTATGCATAATAACGTCGTAACTATCAGAGACAGGAATAATATTGCTTTACTGTGGGCCATGTTGATTGGAATCTGCATGAAGGCAAGAAAATAAAACTTCTCCGGTTAGTTCATACAAAGCGTCTTTCATACTAACAATGCATCAAGCTCACCAACCCACATGTACCTTGGTGTCCATTACAGTGACATCGCCATCTGTCAACATTCGCCGTAAATATCATTCTGTGTTATTACACAGGCACGTTTACGACTCTGGTCTCATTGTGTAAAGCAATGGTATGTATGTATGTGTGGGTATGTGTGTGTTTCTTTTTTATTATTTTTAACAACCGTGGTACAACCGTTGCATCCATTGTTACCACACTAGTCACTCGCCTGTGTGACGACGATTCTAAACAATGTGGTATGGAAGGGAAGTTTTTGTGGATTTTCTACTCACCTACAACACTATTTAAGACGACACAAAATTCTATAGAATGCAGTTTGTCGGGTAATTGTCGCCGTGAAATGACCTTTCTTCTGACTCTATTGTGCTTCGGCCTTTAGCGAAATAATAATACTGTGCGTTCCCATTTAAATAACGCGTTCACACGTTATGGGTGCGATCAGTAATTTGGATAATATATTATATTTTTTATTTAATGTTTTATCTGCGATTTCTGAGTTGCAGTTTTGAAATGAGTACATACCAATATATGCATGAAATTTAATATGCTTCTCTCTGTTCTGAATCGAATGTCAGTCTGTGCTTTGTTCTCTGAGTATACAGCGTAGGCAGGGCTGTACAATGCTGTATTCAGACATGGCCAACGGTGTCAAACGTTTCACCTCCAAACACTCGTTAAACACGGGTCTTTTTTCTCGAAGGTAGTATCATTCTTATTTTAAACATACTGGCGCTAACACTGAAGCGTAATCTATGCTCCCTGTGTGTATGCCTGCGCTAAATTGACGGATTCCTAAGCCAATAGCACATGATAACACCTCCGCACACTAACACTGTGCAAGGTCATATCGACGAGTCCGCCATGGAATAGGTATGATAGTTGCTTCCAATTCAGCATGATATAGAAATCTAAGTGGTTGTACCATCTCACATAGTGAGGCACAATCGTGCTTGCTTATAAGTTCCGAATAGTACAGTTTGCATATACAAAACATTTATCAGTCCCACTATTAGTATTTACATCTACTATAATAACAACCGTCATTAATCGGTAATTAATCAAAACTTTAAATTAAAGATTTGTAAATTGAAAGAGAAAGTATTGAGTCGTATTTATGACAGTTATGACACCCATGACCGGAAATGTCGTAATAAAAATGACATCAAGGAGTACGTGGTGGTAACTCACCTTTAAGCGTCCACGGCTTTTCTTGAAAATCTTCAAAATATCTTAAAAATTAGACACCGTAATTATTGCAAATATCAAGTATCAGTCTATGATCTGGAAGCGTTGGGAATCACCCGTCACCTCATGGTGTGAATGGATATATAGGCCTTGCTTTGACCGTGTCTCTTCGACACTTCACGCCACACTGTGCAATGAAAGTGGTTAGTTTTTATGTTTGGTGGATTGTTGTGTTGCTAAGATGACCCGAACTGCTCCGCCTGCGCATGCGTAACAACCCCACCTGAATATATTTATTGGAAAGGGCTTTGCGCATGCCTGGTAACTCTCGCTATTTGGGTGACGTCATGGTTCATGTTAGGCTAGACATTAATGAACTCAAACGATCGCTTATCGTCAATGTGATTAACAATCGCGTAGGTTTCCACGTGCGTCGTTTATATGGTCGTTTGATAATCTACAATTAAACTTCCCTACCAATCCCAGGTTATCTCATCAAGGAACATTCGAGTAAAAGCTGCCAGTGAGTGCGACACAGTACGCACAATCAGAAGTGATTCCATTGGCAAAGCGCTTTTTTTGCATTCAGGGATGAAATCAATATACTAGTACAAATATTTCTATAAAATCATGAGCTGATAAACGAAAATGAAAAAAAAAAGTTATCACGATAAATAACTTACTAGTATTTTGAATACACATTCGAAGCACTTGTGTATGCCAGTGAAAACGTGTATGTTAAATTAAGTTCAAACCCATTGCATGTTAGAGTAGATCACTTATTACCGGTTTTGTTTTCGACTATTTAATTTTTCATTAACTCTTATTGCTCGTTGAAAACCTGACGTGACAATGTGTAAACTCTAATAGTCCAACATTATTACCAATTTTTCTATTGCGCCAGCATGCGTTAAACATACCATATCACTTAGTTACATATCCGAATTCCCAGACTGGCATGGAATTTAATTAATTGTTATGCCTTCTTTGTTGTGCTCATTGTAGGCGTGCCATTCTTATGCCCAGCTAGCGTGATTTCATTGTTGTAATGGAGTCACCCTATGCAATCTGAACGCTATAATAAACAGGGGAGTATAGTTACACACCGCATAGTTACTAGTATACTGAATGTGTCATCAGGTATCAACAACGGATATCATAGTTCTTTGTTTTTAAGGACATGAACCAGGGTGGTATGCGCCCTCAGTTGGTTTATATCCCACTCAGGCGGTAGCACGAGCTTTCATAATTTGTTGCATACAGTTACCGGGATTTTTAACTGGTGTTTCTACAGTGAGTTCAGAATGAGGAATCTGCACAACAATATTCTAAAGCCAAAAAGGATGCTAAAATAACACTGCGATAAAGACTTTCCGTTTTCGACATTGTGAAATTCTTTTGTTTTTATGTAGAAAACTACAGTACAGTATATTTACAAAGTAAAATCATATTTATGAAAGTTATTGTTCATACAGGAGTTGTTGAACCCACTACATAGTTTGTAATTTCATTCAACTCCTTTCAGTCACAATTCAAGACAAATAAAAGACAACAATATAGCAAATTATTTTTTTTCCTGTAATGCTCTTTTGAAATCGGTTAAAAAAATGATTTATGGGTGCATAGGGTATACATTTCGTTATGAACTATTCTTAATATAAAAATCTAAATTATCTTGTCAAAATCAGTTTTTTAAGGTTTTCTCTCCCAAAAAACGAATGAATTTGGGGTTAATTTATTTTGTTCGATCTAAATGACTTCTCTGTTGATGTTTTCCCATGATGCAATGTACATGACACCGTGACAACGTTCGTATTCGAGAAACACAGAATTATTTACATAATATTCAAATCAGTAACATACACTGAAAGCATATCCGCCACAAAAAGACTGATACTAAGTGAAGTGCATAGCATATAAGATTCTTGCAATCTCACGGTCGTTACTGACTACTAACTTACCGCGAAATACCTAGACATCGTAACGAGATCGTTGCTAGAGAGCACATACCAATCTCTATGGCCACGGTATTGCTTATAGATGTGATGCAGTCGCCATTAACCTCTACCCGGTCATAAAGACACGTTTTCCACTTTATAACCGTACACTTTCATGACTGTTTGTTTTCTTAACACTTCTGCCGAGTCTTGACGAAAGTAATGGCGCATTTCATGTGGCCCAGCATCACGCTTTTTGTCAATGTAAATTATTTTTTGTGTAGGGTGAAAAGTTTCAGTTTTATTCATATGCAAATTATAAAATGAAATTATTTCATTTACACCTCGGGAAATTGCGAAAATTTGTGGAAGTGACGAATTCGAACTAACACTTCAAACGTGGGAAACACTGCAACTTTTCAATGGTGGATACGAGTTGACGAGGAGTACAAATTAACATATTCAAATAATGTGTCACCTTGAGTTCAATCATAGACAGTTTTGAATTTACTTTAAACTGACAAATGCTACAAATCAGGTACAGACGGGCTACGGGACTTATTTTGGCAAATACCTTAAACTTTCAACAGTTATAAAGAATTTAATTATCGCGGGTTTACAGCATTAAATAATACAATTAGGGTCAGACGTTTGTGAACGCCACTGTTCGAAAGTTCGTTTTACAATGACCTTCTAAGGCGAAATATGCATTTATATTTTTATATTATTGTGTACATCATCGCCAGGAAATGTGCTTAAAATATATTTATTATAAAAATGCAAATTATTATACATGAAAAGCGTCATAATCAAAGTATTTACAAAAATATGTATTTGTTAATATTACATTATATTACAATCATAATCATCTGCTTAAATAATACATGTGGTATCTGTTAATAATATATATTATAATTACAAAATTATTCGCTTAAGTAATGTGGTTACATTGTAATCAACAGAGACGGATGGATAATTGTAGTTTATGACATTATTGTCAACGTGAACTAACATTAGACAAACACAGTCCCCTTAATCCCTATGTTGTGTATGAATCCTAAAACAATACTGCGTCATTTTGCAACAACCCTTTACCTTTAATGGTTACTTCCCATTTACCATATTTATACTTGAGTAGATTTTCCAACCAAATTATGTCAGTCAGTCAAGTCAGTCAGCTGAATTTCATCATAAATTTCAAAATAAAATGCCCAAATGTTAACGTAGATCCGCATACAATAGTCATTATATTGTTTCAAATGAAATGCACAGTCTCCTACTCGTCAACACTATTTGTGCATTTCATCCTGTACTGTACTCAAGTAGATATAACCATTATATATGATCTTTGGATATGTTTTCATTTTTAAAGCTGGATGTCAAATGATTACATAGACCTGTATATAAGTATAAATGTACTTTGCATAATATAGAACCTGTTATGTAAGTCTTGCTTAGAAGATGTTATTCTGGGTTTCCTTCCTTTTCTTCTTTGATTTCTACAAGTATTAATTAAAAAAATAGTTTGGTATTAGCGTATATTACCTAATAATGCCATAACATTCTATTAAACAAATGGCGTGTCTACCATTTTTAAGCGGACTGCAGATGTTACGTCTTTTAGTGTTATGTCATGATATATTCCGTTGTAAGGAATTAAACTCACAATTAAAGTGTTCAAGAAGGTCATGTGATTGCTCTTACCTTGTGTTTGTGTCTAGGAGTTTCATCCTCGTCGACTTCTTCTGGGGTGACTCTCTGTTGATCACTGTTACTGTGGAGGGAAGGGCTTCTAGACCTAATTGTATGCTCTCTTGTTTTCTTTTTCTTTTTCTTCTTCTTCTTTACCTTATCCTCATCATGGCTAAAAGGGTCATTCTCTTTGTGTGTGTCTTGACCTACTCTGTGCTCCAATACAATATTCCCTTCTTGCTTGACACTTCTATCATGTGTTTGTGGATCCCCAGATTTTTCGGCAATGTTTGGATCTTCAACTACCACATGCTCGTTATCTCCACTTACGTTACTGGTAGCAACTGGCAACGTATTATGATGTCTGTCCGTCCTTTCTTTGCGATGTTTGTCTTTCTTCCTTTTGTGCTTCTTCCTGTCTTTTTCAATTGCGGATTCATCCACGTTTTTTCTATCTTTCACAATCTTCGGGTCAGTGTTTTCTACAGCAGAAGATTTAGGCTGGCTTTGCTTTGAATATATCCTTGCACTTTCATCACCACTTGATGAGGAACTACTGCTACTACTACTTGAACTACTGCTCTTACTTCTAGACCTATCTTTTTGCTTTGAATGAGTATGCTTTGGCCGAGAATGTCGTTTATTTTCCTTGCTGCTATCTTTTTCTGTTAATTTCATCTTCTCTTTTTTCATAACCTGTGAGGATGGACTCTCTGTGCTTTTATCCTTATGTCTTCTCTTCGTCTTTTTTTCTTTACTCTTTGCTCTCTCGTCATTACTGATATCATCTACTTCTTGCTTATCAACCTTGTCCATTTGACCCTCATGTTCTGGACTTGACTGCTTCGATGAGTGTGAATGTATTATATATGTCCGCGGCTCGTTGCGATGTTTATGGCCGATTTTGTCATTCCCAGAAGCTTGTTCTAGTTTGGGCAGATGATCACTTGATATATCTGACAAGCTGTTTTCACTATCTTGGTGTCTAGCATATTTCTGCCGGTCACTACTTATGCTGCTTCTGTCAGTTAATCGTTGGTCATATCTATCTTGACTGTCACTATCAATTTCCTCGTCAATGTATCTTCTTTCTTTGTATCCTTTATTTTCTCCGGTCTGTCTCATTACACTTCCTCTATTGTCATTGTCTTCATTCTCTGACTCACTTCTTCGTATGTCGTCATGGCTACGATCACCATCATCACTTCGCGAATACTGCCTGCCATCATAACTGAGATCATCATCATATGGGAGGTGTTGGCTGCCATCATAACTGCGTTCAATGTCACTGCGTGAGTAATGACTGTTATTATAACTGCGTTCATCGTCACTTCGAGAGTGCTGACTACCGTCGTAACTGTGATAGTCGTCATGTCGTGAGTACCTGGCATTATCATCAGCAGCAGGTTTGTCATCCGTTGATTTATCTACAATCTTATAAGGCACATCGTATGGGTGTCTTGGTGGTTTCTCACAACATTAGTCATCCTTTTACTTTTTGACGGGGTTACTACATTTTTAGAATGAAGCCTCCGTTTTCCAATACCATTTGATGGTAATGTTTCGTCATAGTATTCAGAGGGTGGGGGATAATACGTGTTTGTTAATGTAGTTTTCCCGGGTGTCTTTCTGTCCCTAGATGTGTCTACTTTGCCCTTCTTTTTTAAAGACCCGTCGAGATTGTTCAGTAAAACGTTATCCTTTTTAGGGTGTGCCTTATTATCTTTCTTATCATCAGCATTTACCACTTCTACATTCTCTTCATCGGCTGCAACAGAAGTAATGAAACTAAAATATTTAAATGTTATTAAATGTTTGTGTGTGTTTGATTGTATCTAACTAAATGAATGCCATACTGATTTGTTAATACCACACACACTCCAAAATTGAATTAGTGTTAATCGAAATTACAGGCATATATAATCATGAAACTCGAACTATGCAAATTGCAGTCGCCTCGTCGTAATGCCCCAAAATACAGCATCCTGTTTATGAATGCACTCTTGACTAGTTGATCACCATCGACGTCGACGTAATCATAATCATGGTCAGAACGATCAACCCAGTTACGAACTTCCTCGGCGGGCACAAATATTTCCACCAGCAATATAGAACACCAGAGTAATTACAATTACAGGCACATATACGAACAAATGAACATGGAGCACTAAATTCGAATTACGAACTCAGCAAATGCGCAACGTCTGTGTATTTAATGTAACCATCATTACCACTAATTTAGAAAAGACATTGAGACGACTTGGACTTGAACAAAATTATTTAATTCATTACACGCTATCATCTGATAATTTTAAAATGATAAAATATTTTACCTTCAATAGATTTGTTGGCATTTCGGACACACCATATAATAATAATGCATACAACAATAAAGATAATTATCGCCACACCGAGCAGAACACAGAATGTAATCGCTAAAACTCGCCAGTCGGTCTCAGTTCCTATAGCAAAGTTTAAAACAATTATATCAATTATGACACTATTTGAGTTGTTGAATTCCATTTCTGGCATTAGTTGTTCAAAACAGCTTTCATTTATTTCAAATTCACGTTATTGTTGCAAAAGTAATGTCATCGTAAAACGAGTTTTTGGCACATAATCAATGTGAACAAAATCCAAAAATTTATAAAGTCTGCACATTCAATATTATGTTAATTTAAGTCGAAAATATGTACCCATGAAAGTAAAAATTCGACATAATTATTAAAATGATTGGGGAAAAGGGGTGCGGTTGTAATTTAAACCAATCGTAAGTGCTTCCTGTTGAATGTTGTTGTCATAGTAACTATTACATTTGATAATTGGCATATACAAAAGATTTAATTTTTGCAGTTAATCAAGACTTCATACAATTATGTTGCGTATAAATAAATAAACAGTTTGATAACTGAATCCATATCTCGTTCATATGATCAACTTTAGTGTAAACTGGGAAGATGGTGGTATGTGCTGTGGTATATACTTCTGTGTCGTTCGTTATGTGAGTCGAGGACAAATGTATATGGCGTGACTATACATGCAATGTTCGTGTGAATTACTAACAGTGAATTTCATTTACCTGTGACATTCAGTGGACCAGTCACACATGTGAGTGGTTCGTCATATGTCACGTGATCTAATGTACAGGTATAGGTTGCGCCGTTATCATCGGAGGTCAACACTAAAGACACACCAATTATAATTACATCTGGGTCATCGCTGTTGACGACGTAGCTTGACACTCGCTTGTGATCTCTCATCCAATGTAATTCACCTGGGGGTTGACCGTCACGTGATAAGCACTCAAGAGTGATGTTACTACCAATCACCAGTTCGGTGTCCAGAGCAGTGCATGACGGGAAGCCATGTGACGGAGGTAACGCGTCTGAAACGACAGAGTCAGGGGTAGAGTTGCGTCTAACTCAAAGTATGGGGCACCTCGAAAAAATGTTCAAAGAATACAATAATGACTTAGGGATGGACCATAAAAAACTGGTGGGCGATGGCAGAATTGAAAAATATACACAGGAATATCCTGCAAGTATCAATAACAATAAATAATTCTTAAGGAATAAGTATTACACACAGAGTAAATAAAGCAAATTACAGCGAATTCATCATTGAAGTGAAGGAAACAAGTATTTTGCATTGTTGTTTTTTTTTTTGCCATCGCCCCAGAGATTCTAATAGTCCGCCCCTTACTTGAATAATAAAACTCACAATGCGGTGTGGTGAAGTGGATATCGATTTGTTCGTGATTTGTGTTGATTTGTACTTTTTTTATTTTATGACTTATTGACAACTGGTGGTACGTACCACAAAATCTTCAGGGCATCTGTACTTGTTCCAAATATCTCACATGTATGTTTGTTTGAAAATGTATGAATTAAAGCACGTGTTGGAGAATAAAATACAATAGTTTATTGATATACGCTTACCTCTGACACTGAGTGTAACAGATGTTGACGAGACGTCAGACAACTGACACGTGTATGAACCACCATCAGACTTCAATATGGGGTAAAAGTTCAAGTAATATTCCCCTTTACTGTGATCACCGGATATGTATATCCTACATTCAATGAGATGAAATGATGTCATAATGCCTTATTTGGGCATGTTATTTTGGCTAAATAAGTATATACTGTACCGTGTGATATATTAATGCATTATTCTGGATGAAAGTAATATTGTATAGAATTTGACAGGGGGCAATATTTTATTACAACAATATGTAATATGTTCCTTGATTGGATAATCTGTCAGATATCATATTTCGTTGTCCAATCAGTGAATCGTTTAGAACTTGTTTAATGACTACTTCGTAAATGCTAAATAATCGTCTTATCTATAATTACCTGTCTTGGTATGCTCCTTCCACTGATTGGTCCAGACTGATCAGCTGACCATCCTTACGCCATTGTAATTGGTCGTCTTCATCAGTATTGACCTTGGCACATTGTAGCTGTACGGGGTATCCTTCACGAGGACTACGACTGATAGGAGTTTTGTAGAGGTGTGGAGTTTCCGCTGTAAATGAAGTGTACACATACAGTTTCTGAATGACAGGAACATTATATTTCGGCTACTGAAATATGTAAAATAACTCAAACGTCATAATAATGTCTTCGAATGTAATAACGCACTGGTGTCATGCCATGATCCCACGATACAAAGTTTCTCATTGTATTTACCGAGAGCAGTTTATGCCTTAAATTTGACACACTTGTAAAACACTTACTATCAACATCCAAATAAACAGTAACGAATGGTGAGTTCTGGGTTGCCCTTGTAACTAATAACCTTGTACATGCATATTGTCCCTCATCGTCAGCGCTAATGTCATCTATCTTCAGGTTATATTCCCCGTCACCATGGTTACCTACTACATCGTATCTGTTGTTACCATTAGTTATGGTGGGCCCTACGCTAATTTCTTCCCCTTCTTTCGACCATACAGCCTGACCTGACGTTTGGGATATCTGACACTGTAGTGTAGTGGATTCATATGGTAAGACGCGTGTGGCTTGAGGCTGTACCCTGAAATATTCTGTAAATGTTAAATATTATTGTCGTTTTGCTTGTTTCACATACACAATGAAGTAGGTTTACATACTGAATGACTGGCTCATGCTTTACTTCCTAAATGTAGTGTCAGGCGTTGTTAAGGGTCATGCGATATCACTGTCGTCTCAGTATCCGAACATGTTAATACTGGTATGTGCAAATTGTCAGAAATTATAATGTATGTTTTCAAGTGTAAAAGTCTTCCAATCAAAATCGCACTGTTGCTAGTTAATACAGTGTCTGATCCCTTTGAATGTTCACCCGTGACCACAGGTATTAATATTAATCACTGCTCTGGAGAACAACTACGCTACCGCTGTTCCTTCGTGCATACGAATTTGAGTACTTCGACTCACCACTAGCTTAAATCATACAGGATTTGTGTTTACTCTCAGACTGACAGGTGATTTACTGACGAATCGAAGTTAGCAGTGTGGCGAAACTTAATTTCATGGCGCATTAGACGTTAATTTCAACTGGTATATGTAGCATTCTTCTTGTTTTACAATAACAATTCAAGTTTTATATCAAGCGTGCCACAGACAAAAAAAATCATCTTAAACAACAAAGTCTTGTTGCCAGTATTGAACAAGAAAAATTGTATTCATCTGAACATCCAGATCTACGGAAAGTTACGAAATATGAACTGGTCTTTCCAATCACATCTGCCGTACCAATGTGTACACATACCTATTTCAATGGGACCAATTT